CCAGCCTATTACAGTCCTCTGCAAGTGCAGCTCTCAAAGTCACTGCCTGAATTTACAAAAGATCAGTAACTGTGGCAGGGACAGGAACCTGAAGTGTTTTTTTGACTGGATGTGTTGAGGAGTGCTACTGCACGTGGGGTTTGCCTGAGAAAGAATTATAGATTCATAGAATGGTTTGGGTTGGAAGGGACCTTTAAAGGCCATCTAGTCCAACCCCCCTGCCATGAGCAGGGACATCTTCAACTCGCTCAGGTTGCTCACAGCCCCGTCCAAACTGACCTTGAATGTTTCCAGGGATGGGACATCTACCACCTCTCTGGGCAACCTGTTCCAGTGTTTCACCCCCCTCATAGTAAAAACTGTCTTCCTTATATGCAGTCTAAACGTACCCTCTTTTAGTTTAAAACCATTACCCCTTGACCTATCACAACAGGCCCTGCTAAAAAGTCTGTCCCCATCTTTCTTATAAGCCCCGTTTAAGTACTGAAAGGCCACAATAAGGTCTCCCTTCAGCCTTCTCTTCTGCAGGAGGAGGATTGCTCAGTGTATAGCGTGCTCCAGGTGTATTCACACCCAACCCCCAGAAAGACTCTTCTCTTCCTCCTCCCACCCAGTCAAAAGCCACACACAGGTGACACAAGGGGCAAAGGCTGCTTTTGCCATGATTTGTGTGTGGCTGCCAGCCCTATACACAGCACGTTACGTGAGGCATCGCCACCGCTCCTGTGAAGCATGCGCACACCTTCCTTTGACGCACACCAAGGAAACACGACGATTGCCCTTCCTCCGTGTAGCAGGCCCACCACCTGTCCCCTTTATCTGATCTTTCACTTTGCTCTTAGTTCGGCGTTTCTCAGTTTAGTGTCCTAGCAGCCTGATGATAGCCTGTGATATTTTAGCTTCGATGCATGTTCCAACCTGTGCTTCTTCCACAGGCAGAACCACCCCTTTCCTTTGGGGACTGTAAATGTCATGTGGCCATTCATCATTATGGAAAACTGGAAGCTCCAGAACAATACTTTCAAATATTTTTCAAGGCAATCCTGTTGTTCTGGCAAATGTCCAGTAACAATCCACATACAGATGTGTCTTTATTAACAGCAAGGGGCTTTTGCACCTCTTAACCTTACAGTGTTGCCTTAAAAGCATCCTGGACAGTGCAGATAAAACTGGTTCCCTTGTGATGGCTGGTGAATGACACATGTGAGTTGAGGAGTGGGATATTGGCCACTGTGTCACATAGCTCCATCCCACAGCTGATGCAAGTATGTCTCACGGTTGCTGATGTCAGTGGAAACCTGCAGTGTGGGCTGGGCACTGGAGGCCAGCCTTGCTTTTGGTTGTCGGTGGGACACATTTCAGCAGCAGGAGATTTGTGTTGCATCACGGGACAGTCAGTGTCCAGAGCTGACGCTGTCTGGGCCAGAGGATCACATATTACAGAGCCACCCTCTGTATTGCCCAGACCTAGTGCCCCTTCTGCTGAAGCTTACCCCAGGCAGAGATCATTCTCGGCTGGAACAATTTCAAAGCAGAAATGTGCAGTATGCTTTCTGATGCTTTCCACTCTTCTGTGCAGGAGAGAGTCAAGGCTGTTTCTTGGTGTTGTACTTAAGTGCTGAAGGCTTTGCAGGACAGAACAAAGGTGGGGGAATATCAGCATTCAGGGTATGTCTGGATAGTTCAGTCCCCACCAACAAGAAAAACTCCAGAAAGATGTGTGAGAACAACCCATATGTATATGTTGTATGAGCTCTCAGAGAATAAACCTTCATAAAACTGTGATCAGCTATCTTCTGTGTAAAATCAGAGGCTAAACCCACGGCAGATCTCTTGAGGTTGGTTGAGACTTGTCTCTTTTATACGAAGGCCATAGTTTCATGGCAGCATCCAGCCTGTGTGAGCCAGCACTCCTGTTGAAAGGGTACGGGTATAACCCAGCTGCTTGCTTCTGCCCCATACTGTCCTTTCCCTTGGACATGTTTAAATCTCATTTATATATGCTGACCCCAGCCAGGGAGCTGTTTCAAGTTAAATACTGTTCCTTGCTTCCAGGTTGTTCTTGACCTGGGTCAGATCCTGAAGCCAGTAGAGAGCAGGAGCACAGACATCTGCAATAGGACAAGGAAGGTGGAGGCCAGAGTGCAAGGGGCAGTGGGGCACCTGCTTTCAGCAGCAGCAATGATTTATGCTGGTTTAAAATGACAGTGAAACTATGGAAGAACTTTCAGTGTCTACAGTGCAGGATAATCATGACCAAAGAAATCACGCAGAGCTCAAACTGTTTTTTTTCCTCCAAAAACTCTTTTTTATATGGAGTCACTGATGCCACTGTGAGGATTAAATTGGAAGGCTCAAACTGGAAATTATTTCTAGGCTGTTTCCTGGAACACAAGCTATCCACAAGATGAAGCTGTAAAGGTCACACTTGATGAACAGCTGTGAATCACCTGCATTTGCACTGAAGGGTGCAATGCAATTCCCTTGGTTGCTTTTGTTCTTACGGCAATTCCATCAAAATACAATTCCTGCAGGACTTGTCAGCATGTTCCTGATTTAGGAAGCTCAGGGATCTGTGGATAGTTTTCCTTCAGAAGCTGCGTGAATGGCTGCACTGGTGCTTGTAGAAGTCTAAAGCTACTGAAAAAAATCCAGGCATGTAGCAGTACGAGTCCCAGTATTGCACCCTGTGTTTATTGTCAAACAGCCTTTTGGACTGTGTTACCCATTGCTTATCCACGCTCCCAGGCCCCTCTAGCCAGGAGTTATTTCTGTTTAGTGATCTGAGAACAGAGCCAGGGAGCTGTAGGTCATCCCAGCCTTAACACCCATTAGGCACATAGCCTGGGGTGAGGCACGTTCCTGAGTCTGTGCTCCGTGCTGGTGAATAGAGATGATCGTCTCTTAATGCACATGGGGGCCGTGAAGTCCACCTCAGGATGATACCAAGTGTTTTTGGAGAGATAGCTTAGCCTTATGAGTTCCTAACACTCAACTCCTCTTTCAGTGTGCACGTGTTGCTCAGTATGCCGACTCCTCAGAGGTGAGTGCTGGATTTCCTGCGCCCCGATACCCACGCATCCCTTTTGGGCATGGCTGCGTTCCCCAGCCTGGCTTGCTCCTGCCGCTCGTACTCACTGGGTTTCCTAACACCAGGGGAGCAAACCAGGGGAAGGCCAGGCTGCGAGTGATTTTGTGAGCTCTGTGTGTGCTGATGGCAAGTATTGCGGTGCTTCTCACCTTACTGACCTGTGTTACCCGAGGCTGGGGAGTGTTTCTCTAGAGAAAAACCTCAGTCCTTTCTGTTCTAGAGGATGTACCACTGTTCTGGCTGCACTGGTATAACTCTTTC